CAGAATCTGAATGGGAGAAAAAAAGGAGTTAAGGTGCTTCTTGTAATTTTGGCTTTATAGATTACAAATTTATTCTTGTAATGTATTCGATGTTGCAGATTTGCATCATAAAAACATTTTACATGCACAGACAAGCATTTTACTTTACCTGTAGTATTACTAATCTCTCCCTCAGGACATGCGGTACAGTCATAGCAGCAAATGGGTTTTCCTTTTTGCAGCACTTTACGAGTTCCTGGAGGACAACTCCCACTGCACACTGACACTGGCACCTGTGTAATATAAAAAGGCAGCGTAACATATGTAAATGTTTGCTATAAAACTGAAAAGATTACATTAATTTGACTTTTTACTTTCGTGCTGCCCTCCATCCAGATGATGTTTTTGTTAATCTGGAACTCCTGGCCCTCTGGCAGTGATGCATCATACAGCCCTACAGTCACTATGTCAGTTATGCCAGCCATAGTTTTCTGCCAGTTAACCAACTCATAAATAGCCACAGGATCCCCATTAGCATCGAATGACACATCATATCCATTTCGGGAAAAATTTACGTTCTTCAGCTCAGTTAGAATCTGTAAGGATGAATTGAGACATAAAGGGAGTGGAAAGAAAAAACAAAACAATATTTGAACAACTAAAAGTAATGTTTCACTTAAGGTTTCTTAGAGACAGTGAAACATGTTGACAATGACTGATTCGTTTTTACTGACCTGCTTGGACTGTAATTTGGTTAGTTTGTCACACTGAGCTGTGACATTTCTTCCCTGACATAATGCATTATGAATGGCATGTGCAATTGCATACACAGCCTTGTACACCATGTTACTAATTCTAAGCTGAGATGTATCAGTGTACGGGGTTTGGAGAGTCTTTATATCTTCAGTTCCATTACATACTTTCTTTCCTGCAGAATTACCTAAAAATAAAAAAGGCACCAAAATGACAGACAATTGAATTCATCCATTTAACATCATATCTTTTGAACATATCACTCAACAAACAAAGAGTCACGTTTGAGAAAAGGGGCCAAAGTAATAGTGTTGGCTGACTGCCTAAACTTGACCTAAAGGTTAAACATATAGATTATGATTTTTTGCAGTAACGGACCTTTTTGATTATGTTGGATTTGAAATTGCTTAGATTACAAAAAAGAACATGTCTGGCCTTTTTAAGACCAGACATTTTACAAGAAACTCTAACAACCAAGAAAAACAAAAAACGAAAAATGTTTCTCACTTTCTTTTATTGTGCAGTTGAAGGAATCCTCCCAGAACTCAGTAAGCAATGGTGATACAGCCACTTGAGCAAAAGAGAGATTCAACAGGAAGTTTCTGAAACCTGGGATTACAGATTTCTGAATTCCAAATCCAATGGTCCCAGCGAGAAAACTGTACTTCCTTAAACCCGGGTTGGTCACCCATGACTCACTGCCTATCCATTGCCGAGGTGGGAAAGGCTCACGTGAAAGTTCTGCCAGCAGGATCCTCATGTCTCCAGATGGTGCAAATGCCACCACTACCATAGATGTAGATCTTGTGAAAAAAGTACAACTTATTAGAAGAATTTTTTAAGCTACCCGGTATGTAAAATGTTTAGTCAGAAACTTATTTTTGTATATCAATCCAACAAACAAACAAAAAAAACCTTGTAAAAAATCATTAAAAATAAATCCCAGAGTGAAAATCTTTGATGTAAGAACCTGCGGATAACATCTGCTACTTTCTGAATCCTGCTATGTGGGTGGGTCCGATAGAAAGATACAGAGTATTCCACACAAATCCCCTCTTTCTTTGCTGCTTCTAGAAAAGATGCCATGCCGTTATTTCCATAATCTGTATCTGATCGTACAGCACCTATCCAAGTCCAGCCAAACTGTTTTACCAGCTTAGCTAGCGCACCAGCTTGAAACTGGTCACTGGGGATTGTTCTGAAAAACCTTGGGTACTGCTGCTTGTCAGACAAGCATGCACATGTGGCAGAGGGGCTCACCTAAAACAAAAGAAGACAAGGTAATCCTATAAGAACTGCAGATGTGCATGCATATTTTAAACACCTAGTTTGAAAAAAAAAATTAAAGTATTTACTTGAGGAATGTTAAAGGGACTGATGATTCGTGACATGCTGATGGATGGCGTAGACCCAGACTCACCAACAACAGCCATCACCATACCTGACTGGGAGCAGTTTTTGCCAGTGTGAAACACAAGGTCCAAGCTATTCAAAAACTGAAATGCCAAATGCACTGTCATGGAAACTGATGCACATGAGTCATAGATCTGATACCCAAGCCTGATTCCGGGCAGCAGCTCTGTATTGTTGTTAATCTCTTCTATGGCAAAGACCATTGCATGTGACAACTGCAGCTCATCGGCATTTATGCTGCAGACAGACAGTCACCTCACTGTTAAAATTGTAGGCTACATAGATTTTGTTAAGATGAAATTTCATACAGATAACACACAGCAAGAAAGATTACCATTACAATACATGCAACATGTTCATAATTTTTTCCATACTGACCTCCCTTTGCATCTTACTGGCTCAGGCATGATGGTATAATCATGGCTCACTGTTTGCGTGTAGGAGTGAAGAGAGAAAGCACCCCCAATAATGAAGTCCCCATCCATTGAGAATGCAGGTAGATGAATGCTACCCTGCAACTTACATTTCACAGATGAAGCTTCAGTACCAGCCCAAGCACCTGTAAAGCTACTCCTTTGATTCAGACTATCCAGAGACACACCCAAGGCAAAAACTGAGTTCAGCTGAAACAAACACAGAGCAGATACCAGACCAATTAAAAGAACTGAGACTGCCATCTCTCCCTGATGTCAGGTATGTGTGTAAGTGGTATTTATATAGGGTTTTAGAGAACGAGCTCTGCTCTACGTCTTCAAGAGGACATGATCTTACGCAGTGGTCTTTGATTAAAAGTCTGAAAGGTCATTCATTACTCTAAACAGGAGAGTATATTACACATAGCCTTGACAGATACTATGAGTTTAGCTGGATTCATTTAGCTAAAAAAACAAAACAAAACGTTGTCCCCGATAAGGCTTGGAGATATCCTAAAGTTATCTTATCATTCAGTATTTCTTCATTTGATGTTTAATACATTTAGCTCAGTTTATGTGTTGAGAGTTCTAAGTTGGCATGTTTGCAGTCATGTAACTGTACAATATTTCCACACAGAGTCTTTGGCAAATTAATGCTGGAAATTTACTAAGAAATATTAAAAGAAGCTATAATTGTAAAGTCTCACTCTGCTACTACCACCTAGTGGACAACATGATTAAATAAAATATGAGCACTTTATCTTTTACTGTCAACTGAAGACATTTGAAATATAGCCTAATCACAAAAACACATCTTAAAATACTAACAACTTTAAAAAAGAGGCTAATACTAATATATACACCAAAAATGAAAAACACAACCATGACTGTTTCTATTATATTCTCTGCTGTTTTTCCTCTTCTGGTTAAAAAGACCTTTTCTCTTCAGTGTCAGCCAGTACTTGCTCAGATAGAATTGCTCTTACTTTATCTGGAATCACAATCACAATTTAAGGTGCTCTGATCAGCGTTCTTGTTGCTATACAAAAAAAGTAAAGTAAAAACATGGAAGCAAACATCAGCAAGAATGGGTGACTGAACTGGAGATTTAGGTTCCACGGGCATGTATAATGGCCAGTACTC